TTTTCTAACGGTTCCATAAAATGGAACGGCGGGCGGGAAAAGTGGGAGTGGCAGCCTGCAAACACCACCAGCATTCAATTAGAACTCGATTCTTGATCGATAAACGCGGAGTAGGAGGTGCGACCATGGCAGAACTTTAATTACTTAATTTCGAAAATCAATTTGAGGTGCGGCCTGAAGGAAAACCTAATGACTCCATTTGGTGTTGAGAAAATGACCTGGTATATTGATGGCATATTTAATGGCTGCTTAATTTTGACACTGAAAGTTATGTTCTTTTTCAGTTCAACTATTTAGAGCAGATATTCTTTCTTATAAAGGTGTATTTGAAGTGTATGAATTTATTCTCCCCTTTTAATTATTTATGTGCTCCCCACACAGTACACTTTTTTATCAGTTAGCTCACATAATTTATTCAGGGAAAGATTTCCCGCTCACGAACAGAAATCCACCTCAAAGCCACAAACTGGAAGTGCTAATGATGCAACGAATCTTTTTCGCTCGATCTCCGCGATGGGATCACGATAAACTTATCAAAATTCATTTGTCTTACGTGTTTCTCTAATTAATTGTAAGCCCGGCCAACCTTTGCTGCCCCAAAATTATTTATAATGCCCGAGGGCTGCCACATTTTTAAGACCCGAACCCTTTTGCGCTCCATTTCGCAGCGGATTGAGTAAGCCGGTATGGTGTTGGTGTTAACTGGGTCAATTGGAAAGTCGGTTCATTATCTGAGGGGCTCTTATTTTTCGGTTTGCTCGTATCTGCGATCGGAAAGTGCGTGCCGGCAGGTTGAGTCAAGTGTAGTGGAGTGTTGGACTCAACTTGTGGGCAGACAGGTACGAGTTAAATGCGTTCCGGGGGAGGAGAAAACCCAGTCAGGTTGATGAATGGACTTGGTTTACTTGAGAACTGGTTGCAGGTTGCCATTGGCAGAGGGGCAGAAGGAAAACCGATTTCGTTCTGGGTGTGAACAGAGTTCCACAAAATTGAATTATACACCAGAACTCGAAACGCGAAAGTTTCCTGCAAATTCAACGAAGCTGACAGTAATAAAAAATAATTAAGGAACAGTTTTCTTCAAGCTATGTAATGTGAATTTCTCTGGATATGTTCTTCGAAACATTATGCATATATATTACAATAATTATTGAGGGATACACATGCATACTCAGGCAACAGCAGTTACATTTACACCATATTTATACACTTAACAATATTTCCATTCATACTATGCCATCTTCACTATCTTCACTGCTTGTTACAAAGCAGTCACAAAAAAACTATTTTCTGTTCCGTCTCGAACGACTCAAAGCCAAACCCATTAAAGTCATAGTACAGCGATTTGAGAGCTTGACTTTGGTCAAACGACAACCATCCGAGTTGAGCCAGACCTCATAGGAAAATATTTCAATTTTTAATGCTAATTGCGTGCCAAGAGCATTGGACAGCCAAAGCGGAACGACCCTGAGTGGAACCCATGGGTTTCATATCGAATATCGAATATTGATTGAGTTGGGAGTCTTGGCCTGCAGTTGAGTAAATTATATGTGAAATGGAGGCTTATGGAGAGAATTCGAGGCGCGACTTGGCATTAAGTAAACTACATTAAAATTATTTGCACGCAACACAGTACAACTGTGCTCTGCAAAATAATGGCGAGTTCAAATGAAATACATTTCAACAACACTAGTTATAGATAGCAATTATACCAGCAAGATACCAAAATAGATTTTCATAGATATAGATAGATTTTTAAATGGCACTTCAAGCTTCAATGGCAATCAAGCAAGGGGCAACATTGGAGTGCAACATTTAGTTGCGTGCCGAGTGCAGGAGGAAAGCTGCGGGGAAAAGCGGGGGCGTGCGTGCCACTGCTCAATGAGAAGATACAGAATAGCAGACGGACAGACCCCTTATGGAGTGCCCAAACATAAATACAAATTTAACAAAGTTGTGACAGTTGAGAAACGGAAAGCGCAGTGGCCATTGACGAAGGCGATTGTAGAGGGGTTTTTGGGGGGAGACTCTATGAGTGCCACAAGTGACCATTAAAAGCAATTGAGGCGCCACAACAAATAAACTAAAAGTACAAAAAAAAGTAGCATGAGTGAAGCCACCGCTTGATGTCTCCATTAAGGCAGCGAAGTCTGCGTGGGTTTTTCCTCATCAACGAATTTTCCAAAAACGGACAGTGCAAACCCTGCAGCTTAAGGTTAAAGGCTCACACAATTTGCCCACCTTCGGCTCCCCGCGGATTTGCATCCTGGGATTTTTCCCATAGCCGCTGGCCGCCAAAAGGAAATTAATTTATATGAAAAACAATTTTCTACGCTGGCCAAGTTTTGTTTTTGGGGCCATGGGAAGCAGGAAAAGCAGCATTGCGTGGAGTTTTTCTACTCGCTATTTTCCTACTTTTTTCCCGCATTTTTTTTTAATGTTTCACGATGCACATTGTTTGCCAACAATGATGTTGCTGGCGGCTCGTGTTAAGTTTTTATAATGAATTTGTTTGCTGCTTCTTAATGTTCAATTTAATATTGTTTTCGCTGTCTTTTTGCTATTATTGCAAACTGGTTTGAGCCTAATTGAGACATAACTGTTGTTTTCAATGCACTTAACATTTTCCTTGGGAATTATGTCAGTTGGGAAAATCGGGGGAGTGGCCTGGATTGCTTTGCAGTTTCTTCCTTGTGTTGTTTAGATGTTACCAACAACACAGCACGCACAATACGGCTATAGAAAAGGGGAGTTGGAAAAGTGGGCGGGGAGTGGTCGGTGAGGGTGTGGTAGTGCAGCAGTAATGGGAACCAGGGAGCATTGCACAAAAATGCATTAATTTTTTCAGCATTGTTTGTTAATATGAGAAGTGATTTGCTTGAGTTTAAACAGGGTCGAAAACTCACCATATAACTAATTCAATAAATAAATTAAATTCTTGAGTGAATTATACTACACTTTTAGAAACCCAAAGCACTCACTTCTTGTACATTCAGCAGCATAATCCAATTAGTCACCGTCCTGTGGAACCAGTTTCTGTGAACTTCTCTGATAAATTCCCCATTAATCTTTTGAGCAATTCCTATATAAGAACGCACCCGTTTCTTATCCGACGACATGCACAATGTTTTGAGAACTGTACTTCAGGCTTTCACACAACATATATATGTTTGTACATATATGCGGGTTGTGATAATCTTATTTATTCCCACTCGTTTGCTTTAATTACGCTGAATTGTGAGCTGTCAACATATCAAATGTTTCCTTCCATTCGTTTATTTTTAAAGTTGCTTGCTTTTGGTTCTCCTTTTGGATTGAACACGACAAATTCAAAGTTCTGACATCATGCGCAGTTCGCAGATAGGTTCCCAGGGTTCCAATTAAATTCAGGGAGTGCCCTCAATCCCGCTGCTCAATGCCCAAACAAACTCCACTCGAAAAATCATATTAAATTGTATTAGAAAATTTATTGCATTTAACCTGCAACGTATTTGGGGCAAAAGGGGAGAGCAAACCACGCACAGGAAAACAAGCCGGCTAAAACACACCTACAAACGAGGCTTAAAGGGGTTTCGGGGGATTTTTGGGGTTTTCGGGCTTGAAAAATCGCAGGAGAGCTGGCAGAAATGTCAAATTGGCAGACAAAACAGTTACCAAATTTGAATGGCAGCGCGGGAGGGGGCGGGCAAATGATTGAATGAGCGACTGACTGAATGAATGCATGATTGAGTGAGTGTCTGCCTATCCTCCTCTCCTTCAATGAGCCCCCATAGATGCAAATGCTTTCAAGTCGTTCGCCAATGCAATTGCAATTGGCAAACAAGGAAGCAAAACGAGCTGCTGTCAATTCAAAATGATCCGCACAGACAGTAAAAATAAAAAAACAAATTTTCCAGGCGTTGCAAGGAGAGGGCCTATTGCCGGCAAGAAGCAGAATCCTCTGCCGCCCTGGCGACGCCACAAAAATGAAAGACAAGGAAGTCGTGGCTGCAACACCGAAAATGTGAATACCCTCTTAAGCAGAAGATAGGCATCCATTGATAAGGTTAAATAGAACTGCATATCTTTGATTAGGGATATATATTTATTCCTGCCTAACAAACGTATGATATTGCTTTGGTACGAATCCAAACGAGCCTTTCATAGGGTATTCAAGGCAAACACGAATACTGCAAGAAATAAATGAAAATGCAAATGGGAAGCCACAGTCGGGGAAAAGTGGGAAAACTCTTCGATTCGCAAATGGCGTTGAATTTGTTCAGGTGGCCCAACTCAGACTGTCTGCTTGGGTTTGGTCTGGCGGTGTGGCTCAGTGGGTCATCGAACTATCCACGGACCACACCTCATCCAAACCCTTTGGGCTTGACCCACCGACTTTGATAAACGATTCGAGGCGATTTCATAACTGACCCTGACACGCCCCCAGAAAGAGAGCGAAACAACCTTAATGATCTCTAATTAATTTGATTCAGATTACCTTTTGGAGCTATTTTCTGTTTGATAAATTGTCGAGATCAGTTTGTCTAATGGGGGATGAGTGAAGGAATTTGTAAAGAATGTTGCAACCGCCCAAGCAAACATAAGCACAACTACCTTTAAATATGAAAACATTTTTACAGATCTCGGAAGACATGATGATATGATTTCAGATATGATTTTCTGATTTCACACTGATTCCCCTGAGTTCGCTGTCACGTGAAAGTTCAATCTGTGCTGGATAGAGTTCATTTGATTTCATTTACAAATATACTAGCAAACGGGATAGTCAAACTCCATTTTTAAAGACAACTACAAAAACCTCACTTTCCATGGGAAGCAGTACCTCTTTAGAAAGAGCGTCTTGTTGTCCTAAGGCTGAAGTTGTAAACTCCATAACTCGACTTATCCTAATCGGATTTTGAAGTGGCATACCTCTAAATGTTTCTGGCGCAATTCTCTAAAAATCTGCATTCAAATTTTTAAATTTATTTTTTTTAAAATTTTTTTGTAATTTATAATGATTAAGTGAAATGTGTCTGTATTTTCACATTTCACGACAAATGAACGTTGGGGGCGAAAACTAAGCAGCAGGCCATGCTGGTCCTCGCATCCTGCCACTTAGTTGAAAATGCGCAGCTACTGGAAAAATCTTTGGCGAGTACTGGACTCCCTCACCGACCCACCAAAAAGATCAAAGGACGAGGTCTTCTCTAGCGATTCCCGAAGTCGTTTGAGCCTGCTTACCCATTTAAGTCTGCGAAGCGATCGACGAGGTCCCCGATTTGTGATTCCACCTGCAAGTCGCCATGTGACTTTCTCGCCCAGCACTTTAGAGCACCTGGACACCCGAGAGGCGGTAAGGCAGGCGGAAACATCGGCCTTCCAGAATTTCGTGCGCGAGATGTACGAGGGCTACTACCAACTCTTACTCTCACAAGAGAGAGAACTATACGGTTTACAGCCAGAACAACAGCTGGCCAACCGAAGGCTGGGGCTCAAGGACCTCGTGAGACTGCAGAGAGTGGCCAGTGATCTGTGGAAACGAATGGACAGGGAGCGAAAGCAGCATTACAAGAATCTGGCCTTGATGGGACTTCATCGCCGATGCTTACGACTGCCCCCCGATCCGCATCGCATACCCCCACACCTCAAAGTATCATCCAAGAAGTCGAGGAATTATAGATATCCTTACTTATATCCCTGAACTAAATTATGTGCGGGTTTTTCGGATTATTAAATAATGTTCAAATGATAACAAGCCTCTACACTGGTGGTCATATTTATTGCACAACTTCCGAGCTAACCTTTGAAAATTTCAATCAATCCGAAGCTATTTGGTTAGGCAATGCTTCCTACACGCCGTACATGGATTAAGACTGTCCGCATCTGCATACGATTAGCATACGGATTACTTTGTCCATATCCGGCCTACGTGTGCATAATTAGACGCAATCTAATCCGCCTGCGCGGAAATGCAAAGGGAAATCATTCCACTGACCGGGAAATCAGCGGTCGTCGTTTAGGAAATAGTTAACGATTTAAATGGTGAAATGCCAAGTGTTTCTGCTTACGTCATATTATTCCATCAAAAATGAATATGTTTTATTCTCAACTCACCTGTAAAGAAGGAAGTATAAGAGATTAATATTAAACGTAAATAGGGAAGTTTTAAAAATATTCCGAATATTCTTACAAAGTTATAAAAAGAATGATACTTTATCTTGACGAATTAGATATGCCTCTCTAAAAACCTTCTTAATCGACTAAATAACTTCATCAGCCCAACACAACCTATAAATAAACATGATTTCCCCTAGGAATTCGCCATCCCAACTCGCTTCCCCGAATCCTCACACATGTATCCGCACCCAAAACGAGGCCAAAAGCAAAGACCAAATCGAAACCACTGCACATTGAGGCAACTCCCAGCTCTTGGAGAATTTAATTGCATTTTCTGGGCGAGATCGGTGGGCGGGGTGGCGATCAGGGGGCGTGGCAAAGAGCACATTTGTTCACACATTTCGACGAAGAGAAGGCGCCACTCGCGTTCGTGTGACATTTTTGTGACATTTTGAATGGTGAATTTGTTATTTCCACCCGATACACATAAATTTAAAGGGGTCAGCTATGTGTTGTTACACCAAGATGAAAAAAGCAAAAGTTCTCCACATAAATCGCTTCCTTATCGGGCCTTTTTTCTCTGTTTTCTGTTTTCCCCACTGTTTCGGTAACCCAAAATCCCCATTCGAGGACCCCGCCCTGGTGTCCTACTTATGCAACCGATGCTTTCCAAAAAAATTGAGAAACAAGTGATTTCAAAAAGACCGCAGGCTAAGGGCCTGACCGATGATTTCGATGAACAACCGAGCGACCGATCGGTGGATCGATGGATCCATTGGCTTTCCCCTCCTTTCAGATACCTGCCTAGATAGATATTTGCATTGGCCCGGAGCTGAAAACGAACATTTGCTTTAACGATAATGAGCTCCTGCCCCTGCACTCGACCAACATTTCCACGTTTTATGACAGCGGCCAAGCAATTAGTGCTTGCCATTTATGGCTCACACGATCTCAAGGAGAAAATGTTGGGGAAAATCTGAGAAAATCTGGGAAAACCTCACAGAAACCGTTACGTAATCTACTAGATAAAGCTCAGAATTTATGCCTTAGTCGCTAATCATGGGTTGCGCGCGATGACGACGCACTCTTCAGCTACTAACTATATGGAATGGATCATGTGCTAAGTGATCGTCATTATCCCGGCTAAGCCATCTGGATTCTGTGACAAGTGCAGGTAATTGAGTATCGCCTCCAGGGAGGAGCACAGAGTACTCTGCGTTGATGGCTTGGCTTCGGCTTTGGCTTTGGATTTGGTCTGGGGAAAGGGGAAAAGTCCAAGAACGAGTGAAAGATGGGGCGATAACTTGCAGCAGGTTTATGTTCTTGCGCGTCGAGAATTGCAACTGCGATGGGGACAGCCTGCAAATGTGAAAGTAAACTTGAGTTGGTGCTAGAGTGCAGTAGTTGCTTGTGAGTTTAGGAATTCAAATGCTGTTAAATATTTACTGCTCTTTTAGTAATCTGACACTAGGACTTATTAAAATGTTTATTATGTGGGTTTTCAACCACTATTGAAATAAAATGAACATTTCATTTGAGCACGCCTATAATTACAAATAACTACCACTTAGATTCCATCCGTTCTCCAAGAATATCCAAGAATACCAGAGAATGGGCCAAACCAATGCGACACGTTTAAGTGCAGAAGTCGGCTGATGGATTGATGTGGCTTCACGTGTGTCAGCGGTTAAGGCGGCACCACCGAAACCACAAGATACGAACTAAAACAGCTCCACACACTCGAGTGCAGATACAAATACTCAGATACGAGTGCAAAGAGAACTGCGAGTTGGGGCAAATGTTCTGTGGATGAGTCACCACCCAGTTCGAAACTAGTCATACCCTGGATTGCTCCTGCCCCTCAGCCACTCGCCACTCACCACTCCCCTCCCCCTTCTAAACGTCACCCTCTCTGAATGAGCACGAAATTGTTAAAACCACATTGAAAACAGCAGAATACACAGTAAAAGAAATATGTGTGCCATAAGAACTCGATCAAATGTATTACTCACTTCATATAAATGAATAATAATGATGTTGCTGTGATGTTGCATATTGTTTCACTACTTTTTGTCAATAAATATTATACGTATTATTTTCACAGCAATAATCGAGTGTTTTTCGAAGTGCACATGCACAAGAAGAAAACGAAGGAAAGAGCATAAGAATGCAAGGAAATGGGGAGGAGTTGGGGGCTGGCTTTGCGCAAGGGGGACGTGCGGAGCGTCCCTGAAAAATATCGATTTCGCTTGGCTTATGGACTTCCTCTTCTCAGTTGCTCAATTCCTCAGTTTCGCAGTTTCTCCGCATCTCAGTGTGTTGGTTTTTGTTGTGCTTGTCGCCTGCTAAGAAGGCATTCACCTCATTTCCCTCGGTGGTCAGAAAAATGCAAAAAACTAAAAAAATGCTCAGAGGATCATTGCATAATGCCCACTTTTGTACGAGTGTGCGTGCGCAGCAGCTTATCTTCCCTCCGATTTTTAAACAAAGGAGCTTTGGTTCAAATGAATGGAATGCTACTTTTTAAGAATTGCACTTTATTACCCCTTAAAATTGCATCTAATAAGTCTTAAGACTGCAATGCTTCAAATCCTTATGAATTTATATTAAAAAGCAAATATTTTTAGGAATTTATTAAAATAGTATAGAGTATGTTAAACAGCATTTTGAATGCATCCTTCTTTTCTCGATTAACTTTCTTTTCTTGCATGAACCAATAAAAACATTATTTCCCTGCGAATTTATGATCCCATCTGATTGTGCCAATTGATCTCGGGTTGAGATCCGCAGATCGCGTTACATGCGAAGTAATTTCTCATTTATTTTTTGTTTACTGGGCCAAGTAATTTCTGAGCAAACGAAAACTGCCAAAAATCGGTAATAAACTGTGCGCCTTTCAGCTTCGTAAGTTCTTTTCTTGGTTCTTTTTTAAAGGTTTTTAGGTTTCGTAGGTTCCCCTGCTTATCGCCAAAGTGTTTCTTTAATGAGTTTTGTCGCTGTTCTCTTTTTTCTTCATCGCAATTGGCCGACTGTAAATTAATGTCACCGAAATGGCAGCCAAACCAATTTGCCAGAGGTGAGGAAACCGCATGGAGGGAAAACCAGCGACAAGACCGGGCCAAAACCGCTTGTTGAGCCTCTGACGGATTTCATTTCCCTGCCCCGCGCGTCAATTCGTCAATTGTCAACATTTGTCAGTCCTAATACGTTTTGCGAATGTTTAGCAAAAGCTCAATTTATGCTCATGTTTCTGTGGGGTCTGCGAGTACCGAATACCGAATGGGAATGGGAAATGGAGGTTAAGTGGAGGTTTACTGCTTCGGTTTCAGTTGGGTTGGGCCTTTGGAGCCATGGGGAGATTTATGCTCGCCTTGGGTTACTTGGGAAAATTATGAGAAAACATTTTGATAAAGTCCAGAAAGGTTGCGAGGTATGCAACTTGTTATTTAATAGTCATAAACTAATTTTATTACCTAACTCAATGTCGTTTCTATCCTATACCGCGAATAACAACATCGTAAGTCGGGAAGAAAGTCAGTTTGAGGCGAGTAATTGAATTGAGTCTCAGGATAGCTAAATTAGCCTGTTAGACACAAGTCGATGAACCACTTTATTCTACATTCTGTAATGGGCTTAACGGCCCTTTACAGCCCTCCCACTCAACCACTCCAATCATCTCGTTTCTGTTCGCCCCTATTACGACCCATCAGCAATTTTCAATTTACTTTTCAGCTAAATCGAACCAGACAAGCACTGAAAGCTGGCCATTATCTCGGCTTAGCACTATCCGAGCTAGGCCAAAAGCACGGCTCTTGACCAAAACAAGATGGACTGCCTCATTTGCTGGATTTATGGACTGCGAATGGACCGAAGACTCATTGTCCTGCCCTGGGGCTCCTCGAGCGCCATGAAATATGAACGTGGAACCGAGGGACAGGTGACCAGCCGGCCAAGGCAACTCGGATAGACACCCCTTCCTAGAGCCACATTCGCACGTCTGTGCAATTTGCGGCATGCAGCAAACTTTCACATGGCCGCGCAGGCAAATTAACAGGCCCCAAAATAAAAGTATAAATAAATCCGCTCCAAAATGTGCCCCACTAAGAGAAACACCCACCAAGTGCGGGCTGCGGCGAAATCAAGTCGCCTGCAAAATTCAAATGAAAGTGAACTGAACTCAACTGAAGTGAAGTGAAGAATTGATGGACACCGTGTTACCTTTCCCAGTACCCAGTAACCAGCACTGCGACTGCTCATGTGTGTGGGCGCGGCCATTCCAATCCACACACACTCCTTACCTCACATGACAAATGCCGCGGAAGGCTCCAGCTCAAGGCTCCCCCACCCAAGACTAAAGAGCTCGCCAATTTAATTTATGAGCCTAGCGATCTCCTTGCGATGACTATCGCCCGACGAAGCGTAACGCCCTCCTGAAATCCGGCGGCGGTTCCAAAGCGGTTAGCGGTTAGCGGTGAACAGGGCCCCACTGATGCCATTAGTCAGAGATGGGAGAGCATCTAGATGAAGCATATTATTATCATAAATATACGATCACCAATTCGAACTCAAACATTCCCTTTCAATAGCTCTGAATCTTTTATAAGCTTTAGGCTGGGAATATGTGCCTCTCGTGTCAC